CTCTTGTGTTCGTCATAGCACACATATTGGTTGCCTCTCAACATGTTCAGGACCTTGGTTTATCACTTTATAGTTCATAAGCGTGAATAGAGCCTGCCTTCCACCCGAGCTACTTTTCCTCTTCCTCCAGCTCCTCCTTCTTCCTGTACCACCACGACTAAAACTACTACTTTCACCACTACTACCGCCACCACCACAACCAATTTTCATTACTACCACCACCTCCAGTTCCACTACTATCATCGCCGCCACCACAATCTAGATGAGAAATTGGACACTTTAGAGCTCGCTGGTGGCAGCAAAATATATGAGTAAAAATCAAATTTTACAACCACTCCCACAACTACCATCACCACAACTTCCAGTACTACCATCACTACCACAGCGACCACCACTTACAATACCACCATCACCACTACCACTCCCACAACTAATATCACCACAACTTCCAACACTACCATCACTACTGCTACTGCTACTACCACTACCACCACCACTATCACTACTACTACTACTACTACTACTGCTGCTGCTGCTGCTGCTGCTGCTGCTGCTCATGTTTCTCGCCTGTACGTTTCAGAACGTATATATTGCCATCTCACCCGATCACAAGAATCACGGATCAGGACAGTGGGTGTATTTTGTCCAGTCAGGTGGCCAAGCCATTCAGATATGAATCTCTCTGCCATCCGTTAGCTCTTTTCCCAGCAGTCTTGCCAGTCGTCATTGAATCTATTCTGTCTCATGACATGTCCGAAAACAGACTGTCCACTACTGCTACCACCACCAGTCACTACTACTAGATGGCTTGGTCACATGGCACAGTCGGAACATGAGCACAAATCTGCTCTTCTAGGATGATCGCCTGTAACGGCGAATCACGACCACCCATGTTTATCGGCACCTTTTATGACATTGATAATGATTGTATTGATATTCCTGACATCTCCCCTCACATGTCAAGCATTTCCTGTGTCGCTCTTGTAGCGAGCAGAACGCACAGTTCCAACTAGTACAGTGTGAGAAAAAAATGATAACAGATACAAGAATATCCAGTGTTTAGCAAACAACCAGCATATAGTCTGTTTCTGCATGCACCCACCGAGTTCTTTAAATAGCTGTCACAAGTTTGAAGTGTGACTGCATAGCGTGGGAAAGGCAGAGAGAGAAGGGATAGAGAGAGAAAGAGAGCTGGAGGGAAGGAGACAGATATAAAAGGGGAGGCATACAGAGATGGAGAAGAGGGAAGAGCTGGGAGCAGGAAGGTAGTGGGAGGGGGATACAGATTGAGGAGGAGAAGAGGGGGATAGACAGCCTGAAGGAGAGATAGATGAAAACAGAAAGGGAAAGAATGAGAGAGGAATGGAAAGAAATAAAAAGGTAAAGGTAGGGAGTGATATAGATAGGAGGGAGGAGGTAAAAACCCCCAGAAAGATAAAAGGATATATATATATATATATATATATATATATATATATATATATATATATATATATATATATATATATATATATATATATATATATATATATATATATGTGTGTGTGTGTGTGTGTGTGTGTATATATATAATCTAACTGTTAAGTAATTAAACTGATTTTGTTATGGCCAAGACAAAAATGCCATCTACGAAGCAAAGCATGGAATCTAGGCAACCTCTACCTATGATCTTGCAACTTTTCATCGCCGCCTGATAAGCAGACAACAAACAGCCTCTATTTCTCGAACCTGATTGTTGTGTGTACACTAGTTTCACAGTTCTGAGTCATTTGCATGCAGACTGTTGGTTCCTTGCCTCTCAGGCAGATGTACTCTGTCTTCGAAGGAAGCTCCCATTTAGTCGACTTACAACATGCTTTTGGGCAGGCAGTAGGTGTGTTCTCGGCTTCCACACAACTGGGCCCCGGAACCCACACAGGGTTTTATATAATGGGTTGACATAACAGAATGGGACAGGAATAATATTGAAATGTATACTACGTAAAGAGTAACCAGTGAACATATAGTAGGTTCAATAGTACTGAAAGAGTTAACAAGCATGCCTTAAAAGGTGACTAATTAAGGGTTTGCTGGAGTCGGAATTTTAGGCCCCAGAAGGTACAGATATTACAGCCTGCCTGCAATTCACAACACAGTTGGCTAACTGCCCTTCTAAAGGCAAAGGAAGACGAATGTCTTAGTCGTAGTCTTAATCAAGGTTTCAACTTCACTGCATCGGGTCACCCCATACTTGCTCCGTTCCTGTGACATTGAAAATCAGATGAAATGTCCATCACTGTCACATTTGAAAAACTGATGAACAGACAATTAATCCCGGCACATTTCAGAAATATGCGCATGTAGTAAATGTGTATGGCAGCTGCTAGAGGTGCCACCAGAAATCCACTTTGTTGTTGATGGAAGTAGTCAAGCACGATAAGTTGGCCATACACACGTAGAATTATTACATAAGTTATTTCACCAGCCCACACGTAAACTGGCTACCGGCCATACGAATACAATGACTCAACCACTGCACAAATGATATCTCACATGAAAAAACACAGCTCACGGGGCCGCACCAGGCAATAAACTCAGTAACTTAGGCGAATGTGAAAGAACAATGTTTTGAGTTCTATCAATCCTTGTTCTTCTGGAGTGTCCTCTTTCTCTAATACCAGGTCTGTTCAGATGTGATTGGGTTGATTAGTGAGGAACATCTGTACTCACACAGAGTCACAGGTTATCCCAGCCTGTTGCAGCCATCAAGGGTGTCCTAATTATAACTTCTTTAATGGTTGAACGAGACATCTGAGATCTGTCCTGTTGGTCTTTCATCCAGTTAGGGATTTTTTCCCTATTCAAATGTGCAGATTGTAAACCCTCTGGTAGCAACTGAGAAGGGACAAACTGGTCTATCAGTTGATTGATACTAGTGTAATGCATTCTAACGAGGTGCTCTATTTCGTCATGTTTTTACATTGTGGGTTTCCAGGTCCTATTTTGTAGGAAAAAAATGAATAAAGTCACTGCCCTTCTAAAAAGCATGTCATAAAAATCAACAAATTAGGGATGCTTCCTTCACAATCATGGTGCATCTGCCTGAGCAGTGGGAAACCAACAGTCTATGTACAGATAAGCCAGATGTGTAAAATTTGTGCACACAGAATAAATTCTGGAACAGTACTACAGTCCAGAAGTGGATGAACAGCCATAACTTTCTACCAGTGTTTTACAGCTCCTGAACTCAAAAGAAGAAGAAGAAGATCTATATCAGTGTGTTTGGCACAAATTGGTGTTCTCATAGACTGTTTGATGGTGTCATTTCTCAGTCATTGTGAGTTGATTAAATTAGTGGTATCATATTTTTTTAAATTTATTATACATTTGTGAGCTGTTGAAAGTGTTCTAGTTTGGCTCTGGTTTTATAGTGTAGGTAAAAGGACCATTGTCCATGCCTTCAACTATACTGGACATATAGGGCTAGACCTATCTGTTATATAGACCAATCAGTACTCGGTGGATGTTGTGGTCAACATCACACTGATTGCCTTTACTTCTTAGGACTAAACCTGGTACCCTTTTGAAGCTGGGTTGACCTAGGTGCCAAGGTTATTTTTGGAAAAATAGTCTGACTGTTAGGATCCCATGACCTTCTGATCTGCAGGTGAGCATCTAGCCGTTACACCACTGCGGCTCCCCTATAGTATAGGTACGAACGAATGTTATTTTTAAATTGTTTCTTTGCAGATGTAATTTTAGTAACTTGGTATTAGGAAAATCAGTGATACATTACAGTAGACCAGGGCTGTTCAACAACGTTTACTCCGGACCAGAATTTTGAAAATAGGGATCACCACGGGCCAGAGGACCAAGCCCTAATATAAAATGTTCATTGTTTCCATACAACAGACAGTGATCCACAGGCCACTTGCTAGGCATCCACAGACAAGATTTAGCCTGCAGGCCGCCACTTAAATAGCTCTGCAGTAGAATCTCGATTCTCAAACTTAATTTGTGGTTAAATATTGTTTAGAAACATCTAAACCATTTTCTGCATAAGAATTAAAGATAATCAGATAATTCATTTCTAAATTCCAGATTCTAATTTCAAATTCTAATTACTGGGTCCCATTGTGAGGAAAACAAGAATAGACCCACTGTAAACCCAGAAGCATGTCATAAGAGTTGACTAATTGGGAGCCTCCTTCGAAGGAGCGCATCTGCCTGAGACGAGGAACCAAGTGTGCATACCCATGAGTCAGATTTGTTAAGTGGATGTGCATGCAAAACTCAGGTTCTGGAACAGGGCATAGACAAATATGAAGAAACTCCAGATACATTTATTTTAACCTTACAATAAGTCCATTACAATTAAATGTATTTTTGCAGAAAGAATGAATACAATGAATAAGTACATTATCAACAAAAATTATATCTTTTTTTTTTTTATCTATGTGAAAGAGAGTCATTGTAATAAATAAAAAAAAAAAAAGCTTTGTCAAGGATGCTTAAACAGTAAAGGATGTTGAAATGATTTTTGTGTGTGAACATTTGTGAGTGCTAATTGTTTGTTGAAGACCACTTCAAAACACCTTTGTTACAGTGCCTTTGTGTAGAGTTTCTTAAAGCTCGCATTGACCTGCCGGCTGATGGGCCAGATTAGAGAAATTGTGTCTGGAGACAGAGATTTCACTTTGATAAAATCAAATACCTCCATCACCTCATCTACCAAGCCAGGAATGGGAGCAGATGAATGACAATTGCTCCTTCACCACAGTCGCATCTTGTGAAATCCATAATTTCAGAATTGGTTGATCCGGTAGCAAGATTTTATTGAGATACCGAATCACACACCCCTCCCCCCCTCCCAATAATATTTGTTTTTGCAGCCAAATGTTCCAGAAGGAAAGCATTCAAGAACCCGTATGTTTTTTTTTAATGTATTTATTTTCTTACCTGTTTTCTTTATTTACCCATTGAATTTATATTAAATAAATACCTACATTTTTGTCTTTCAGATTCTCAGGTCTGGTGGATCTCCCCTTCCAGGATGGCTAGAATTTGACACTGACAACCACATCCTTCAGGGAATTGCCACGCCTGCTGATGCTGGGCAGCTTTACTTGGAGATTACTGCTCAGGGTTCCACTGGTCAAGCAACGGTTACCAGCTCTATCATTGTCCGTGATGTGCCCACTCACACGTCAGGAGCACCATTGCTTTTGAAGACATCAGGACCACAGTTCATTCACTGTAAGGAAAAAGAGCCGGAAACTGTAGCCACAATGATAGTTGATGCGAATCTTGAGCACATGGCCTTGTCAGATCGGTTGAATCTACTCAGAAAGTTTGTTGCTCATATGGGGCTTCATGAGGACATGGTGAAGATGCTGCCTGTGGGAAATGCTCCATTTCATGACAGTTCTGCATTGGTTTCTGGCAATGGAGATACCTTGATACCTAAAACCACAGGTCTTTTCATTTCTTGGCCTGTTGGCTGTGGACAGGTGAAAGAGGACCACTTTTCTGTTCTGCAGAGACTAGATGATGATTCAGGAAGTGGTAAAATGGCCAAAGTTTTGGGACAATCTGTAATAGGATGGAAAGTTACAAACAGCCACTTTCAGCTGCCTACAAGAAAAAGGAGGCAAGTTCATGCAACACCTACTCCAGCAGTAACTCCCATTGTACCCACAAAAACAGACTCCAAACAAGATAAAACAGATGAGGGTGATGGCATTATGACACATCAGGTGATTGTTACTCAGTCCCCCACATTTATTCAGCCCACAGCCACACAAGCACCAATGATGAAGACTTATGATCCTCAAGAGCTGCCATCTGTTTCTGGAAAAGTAGAAGAGAAGCCAAGTGTAGTGATGCCCACTGAGACAATGACAAAAGTACTGCCAGTGACAAAGACTAAAGAAATGCCATTGATCAAGCCAACAACAACATACCCATTGGAACCTACAGTTGCTGTTGATTGTATGCCTGGCCAAAAACCTGTAGTCAACAGACGAATAGAGAAACTTGTGTTTCACGTTGGTGAAATAATAGATTATGTCATTCCTAATGACATATTTACGGACTGTGAAGTTAACGGAACACGAGAAATGGAGCTGCAACTTTTCCAAGATACTACAGACATCATTAGACCTGACTTTTTCATACAGTTTGACACAGAGAAGCAAAAAATTATCGGGCTGCCAATGGATGAGGATCACAGCAGAAAATATAATTTTAATCTCATTGCCAAAAAGAAGTCCAGTTCATTGATAGCAAATACAGATATCACAGTTCAAATCAAAGGTGTCAAGAATAGAAGAAATATAAACCATGAACTGAGTGTGACCGTTGACTATGACTTCAACAAGTTTATGACCAGTGTGGAAGACAGAATCAGCTTAGCCAACAAGATAGCAAGCGTGTATGGGGACTCTGACGCCAGGAAGCTAACCGTCACTAAAATTCTGAAAGGTTCAGTCTTGTTTGGTTGGACTAACTCCAGCCTGGCAGCAAAGGCATGTCCTTCACAGGAAATAACAAATCTGGTCGAGAAGCTTGTTGAAGAAGACGGAACACTGACTGATCATGCTGTAGAGAAGTTGAAGCCATTTAGATTATTGAGTGCTGATGTGAAACCTCTGGGTTCCTGTGAAAAGGATCAACAGTTCCCAGTTATTGCCAGGAAGCCAAGTGTTTCCACTCTACCACCTGTTGATAGTGGAGACCATGAGGACAAGAAAGATATAGATGATATTATGACCACAAGGAAAACCATGGTTGAACCTGACATTGATGAAGATGACAGAGACAGAGATGTGAAAGTCAGCAAGCCAACACAGAAAGTTGATACTACCACTGCTGAAAGTGTGATTAAGGGCAGTAAGAAGGGTGATGATGAAGATGATGTTTGGATAACCACTGTTATTCCAGCAATTGTCATTGTGGTCATCCTCCTGATTGCCTTGCTTATTGCATGTATCCTTTACCGTAAAAAGCGGAAGGGGAAGATGAATGTAGAGGAGCAGAATACATTTATCAACAAAGGTGCCCCAGTCATTTTCCCAGATGAGCTTGAAGACAAGCCGAGCGATGTCAATAAACCATTGCTGGTTGAAGGCAGTCCAGCACCGCCGCCAGAGTACCACAGAAACACAAGCGAGAGTCCTGAACGCCTCGTCGGAATGAACTATCGAATCAACAGAGGTAACTTTGCTTCATCGCCAGTGGATGATAGCATCACTGAGATGCCAGAAAAACCGTATGAACCCCCACCTCCAGTCACAGCTTCCAGCAATAATAAGCAGCCCCGAACAACACATTCGCAGCAGCCGTACTCACATCCACCTCAAATATTGCCATAGTTATAGAATGTTATAGACTATTTTAACTGGGACAGTGTGCCAAAAGTAGAGCACAGGCTTACAGATTGGATCAGTTTTGGTTTTTAAAAGTACCTGGAAAGAAAAGGGCTTGTAAAGTGCACAGTGTAATTCTTTGTATTCTGTATTCATAATTATTCTAACGTTTCTGAATCATTTTTTTCAACTGGATTTTGCTTAACTCTTTGACTCCCAGGGGGTTTTGCATAAGAGACCCAAAGGGTAGTAAAAAAAGATGTAGAATCGGCATTTCATGCATTCATTGGGTTTCTAGGTAGGAACCTATGAATGTATGATGCGTTCCCTGGGACTCAAAGAGTTAATGTATGAAACCATATACTGTTCATTTGACATAATGTGACGAGTCTGTTTTAATGGTGTGCACTTAAATTTTACACCTATCTTCGAAAGATAAAGGACCGTAATATGGGAAGATTATACTATCAAGTGAGTATAGAATTCTAAATGAGAAACATAATGACTATTTTATACTATATTCTCATGAAACAGAGTAAAGGTACAAACAAAGAGATCCTACATTTGTGTGCTTGAAATGAAATAAGCCACGTAAGATTAATCTTACAGGGCAGAGAATAAATAGAAGTACATGTAGATTGAGTAGGTAAAGTTTAAAAGAGTAGGCCTAGATGAGCAGTAATGAAGCAGAACAATATGATAACAATAATAGAGGTGTAATGAGAGTCAAAATCTGATTATATACATAATAAAAAGAAATTATTGGCCTTAATATCAGTCAAAATAAGATTGAAACTTTTTGAAGTTTAGAAGAAAGGAGAGTGAAAATGTACAGCTAATGTGTAGAGTAAAGATGGTAATATAAAATACATGTTAGTGTGAGTCTTAAACGAGTATCCTTCAAGTGAAAAAAAAGTAAAGGTCTTTTACGCGCCAGTGGTGCATTGGGCTTATGAGGCTAGACTGATACTTATTAGACCAATCGGCCTTTGATGGATGGTGTGGTCAGCATAGTGCTGGCCATTTTTACTTCCCAGGACTTTACCTGGTACCCATTTAAGGCTGTGTTGACCTAGGAGCCGTGTTTCAAATACTTTGGAATCATGTTTGATAAAAATAAGCATGGCGTAAAAGAAATGCAATCTCTATTTTAAATGGACAAAAAGTCTATTAAGCTCAGTAAATTATTGTAAAGTCAGAGATCACATGTGATTCAACAGATGTAAATATAGAAGAAAAAAAAAAAACACTAGAAATGTCAGATACTTGTTGAGCATAAAGGTAATGGGAAATTATCAAACACTCAACACTGCTAACTTTATAATAATCTGACAAAGTTGAATTGGTGGAAAAGCAGGAAAGCAAAAAAAGACCAAGGTTTTATGCTAAACCAGTAGTCTCCAGCCTTTTTTTCAGGTCGTGCCAACTGTGAGTATATGGCAAGACCCCCACACCCTCTTGAGTATATGGCAAGACTCACACACCTCCATGAGTATACTGAAACACCCAGTCCCCCCCCCCCCCACCCCCTCCCCTTTTCTTCCTGTGTATTGCAAGACCCCCTCGTTGCCCCTTCCACCAGACAATCGACATGCGTTTTTCAAGTTAAGCCCCAGTAAAAAGTTTTAAAACACCATCATATATATAAAAATAATTTATTGCAGCCAAAAGTGAACCACACATTTACATTATCTCTCAACATAGTCACCATTGACTTCAACACTTTTTTTTGGTATAATGGCACCAGGTTCTTCATTCCAATGCCATAGATGTCTGCCACCAGTATTTTGAACCATTCATTGACGCTTATCTGCAGTTGATCATCAGTTTCAAGCTGTTTAGATGCCAGCCAGTTTTCTAGGTGCATGAAATGGTGATAATCCCTTGGCACCAGATCCGGGCTGTAGGGCGGTTGGTCAACAATTTTGTAGTGAAATTTCTGCAACAATTGAACAGTTCCATCTGCGAGGTGAGGTCAAGCATTGTTGTGCAAATGCACAATTCAAGAGGACAGCAATCCACATCTTTTGTTTTGGATGGCTCGCAGTTTTTTTTTTTTCTGTTCAAGGTTTCTTGTCACAAATTCGTAAATCAGTGAATGTGAAACTTTCCAAATTTCGACAAATGCAGAAATTTATGAAATAGCTATTTTACAGAATGTTTTGCTTCACTGTTCAACCAAATCATATCATCACACTAGGCAGACCGCTACAGTCTTCGTCATGGATATTTGTTCGTCCTTCTTCAAACATTCGACAACATTTCCTAACCATACTGTCAGTCATATGTCTGCCCATAAACCTCAATGAGTTGCCTGTAAGTGTCTGCAGCACTGTTTTTTTTTTTCCTAGCAAAAAAACGGATCACAGCATGAACCTTGCAGCTTGTGGGAGTATTTATTTTTGCACTCATTATAAATCACTCACACGCTGCATTTAACAAGATTTTAACAGTAAAAATATAGGACACAGTTAGCTAATGAACCACATAAACGTACTGTATATGCACATTAATGTTTTCCATCAGAAACCTCTTCACGCCTGTACTAAAAAAATCCCGGGTACAAGAACATACGCTGAAGTGATGAACGAGAACAAAGTGCTTGCTGTGAAAAAAAGCCCAGAAAGCTAGAAAAGAAATAGATAAGGGACTATGAAAAAATAGCCTTAAATACTGCAATGAAAAAGTAACAGGCTGTAAACAGTATTGCTCGAGGTTCAGTGAGCACATGTTGTAAAACTGCCTTCAGAATCAGTATGAAAATAGAAATACATGTATACCACTGCCAGTGAAATTATAGAATTCTTTACAAATAACATTATTACCAAATATATTTACCTGATCGTGAAGGTGCATTTGGTTTTGCTTAGGGAAGATTAGACTGTTTTTTTTTTTACAAGTTAATTTCATTGGTTGAAAGAAATGTCTGTTGTAAATGTTGTTATTTGATACTGTTTTTTTTTTTTTTTATGCCTACATGAGGTCACAGTTTTTAGTACATCATTTTACCTTTTATGCCATAATTGAATTGATGCATGTATAATATGCAGTATTTTTGTGTATTTTTTTAAAATTTAAATTCAAACAGGATACCATGTTGATTGAAGATTCAGTAGAGTAAAGTGCTAATTCATTATTTTCATAAGTTTGTATTCAAATTCATTAAATTATCATCTAAGTGAATGGTTTTGCATTTTTAATCAGTAAATAGTCATCATCATCATCATCATCATCTAGCAAATTCTTTTTCTTATCACAGCCTTTTGGAAACACTCTAGATCAGGTGTTGGCAACCCTCCCCCTCCTCGCCCCTTTTTTCTGTCTACGGGCCATATTTAGAATGACTAATCTGGTTGCAGGCAATATAGATAAAAAACCAATTATAAACATGATGTCCGTCTAACTGTCTGAGTTTGTCCGCAACAATGTTTTAGTAGCAGGAAGATTTGACAGCATCAGTTTCTAGTTACTCACTGTTAAGGTTAACACGTTTATTAATATTGATCATTGAATTTGTCTTTGTCTGCATATGAATGTGTGTTCTCATGTTCTGTTTTGTAATCTCAAGGACCAGATTATGTAGTAATTGTACACCAGCCTCACTGGCCAGTAGCAAGTGTCAGCGGGCAAGTTTTGGCCTGCAGGCCATAGTTTGCCCACCACAAATCTGGGTCCTAAGCTAATTTTCCTGCAGCAGGCACTTTCATGCTCAGGGAGTCTATAATGTCTCCGGCCAATCATCATTGTGGTCACTTCCTGCCTAGTCTTTCCTGGAACTGTATTTTCTACATGTCAATGTCATGTTTGATTTGGCCAAACTAATTTAGTTTTTTATAGAAATGGTTTTTATGGGCAGATGTCTAAAAAGTTTAGATCTTATAGCTGATAATTTTTTCTTCTTTGAAAAAAAAATAGTGCTGTCATAATTTTTCAGTTACATTTAAGTGCAGAAATGGACCACGATTCACATACTTCTTTTGTTTGCTTAAAATAGATTGTATCTGCAGCGTTATCTGTGTGAATATCTCTGTCTTGTTTTAGTGTGCTTAGTAGCCCACAAAGTTTAGTTTCCACTGTTGTTTCTCTAGTCTTGGTCATACTCAAGGTTTTAACTTCACTGCAATCGAGTTACCCCATACTTGCTCCATTCCTGTGCCAGTGCAAATCAAATGAAATGTCCCTCACTGTACCGTTTGAAATACTGGCGAATAAACAGTTATTCCTGGCACAGTCAATAAATATGACCACACAGTAAATGCATGAGGCAGCCGCTAGAGTCACCAAAGCCGGCAATCGCCACCAGAAATGAAGTTGGTCATTGATGTAAATAGTTTGTCTGGATAAGTTGGTTATACACAAGTAAAACTAATAAATAAGGTATTTTACTAGCCCACATATAAACAAGCTACGAGCCATATTGATTGCCACAACTCAGCTGCAGCACAAGTGAAGGGCATTCCACATGAAAACTCATCTTAAAGTGCTGCACCAAGCACTTAACTTAGTAGCTATCTAAGCCAGATGTACCATATTTAGGCCACTCTTGGAGTATGTTTTTTTATATCTGCGACACCAGTCCATATTGGCAGATATTCCAATGAAACAAAGTTTATATTTATGGCTATGTAATTGATTGTGCCCTGTTCAGAGATGAAGGCTGATGACTTATTCTCAACTGTCCGTAATGTCATAGATTCTTATCCTCATATGGCCACAAGAAAAAAGCATGTTCTTAAAATGTAGTCTTAGATGCATAAATAGGGGAAAGCACACTTTCTGCCACCCTGATTTTGAATAAACGAATATACCGATGCAGGTTCCATGGCTGCATTGTGGGAAAAACAAGAATGCCATAGGAGTCCACTGATTGAGGGAATCCTTCAAAATTGGAGTTCATCTGCCTGAGAGGCAAGCAACCAGCAGTCTTCATAAAATGATCCTAATCTGTAAAACAGATGTGCATGCAACACTGAGGTTCTGGAGTCAGACTTAAATTCAGATTTAGA